ACAGAGAGAGACACAGCGAGAGAGGGAACACAAGCAGGGGGAGTGGGAGAGGGAGGAGCAGGCTTCCCGCTGAGCAGGGAGCCCGATGCAGGGCTCGATCCCAGGACTCTGGGATCACGACCTGAGCTGAAGGCAGACGCTTAACGACTGAGCCACCCAGGCGCCCCTATTTTTGACATACAGTACATCAAATAATATACTTTTCACAGAAAATATAAATACATGTTTTATTAGCCCATCTATGGAAGCTTTATGCCAGAATTTGACACTTCACATTCCAAGGGGATTTCAAAAGGAAAGGGCAGAATTCATACAGACTTTTAGGTGTACACACATTTTTATCCAATGGTACATATAATAAATGTTATAATTCAGAAATACAGAAAATGCAAATTTCTTTTACTGATAATAGGAGTAATTCTGTCCCTCCACACCTCCCCCCGAAAAGCTAATGCATTTTATAAAATGTATTTTTCGGTATTAAAGGAACTGAAAAACCGAGAATTCCTTCATATTAAAAATGTATATCAGTGCATATCATTTGTTACAAGTCATTCAAATAGTAAAGTCTGTGCAATCAGGAATATTTTGGAGAAAAGCTCATTTGTCATCTGTCACAACATTTTGATCTATTCAGAGTGATTCTAGTTTGAAAAGCAGTATCCGAAGTCTCATTTCATTTTCTCCCCAGAAATACACCAACAAGTTGATTGACACGGGCAGCTAGAATCGGAATCCATTAGTGAATTGTCCAAGATCATCTTTGAAATGCCAACTGAGGACATATACATACAGACATCCATATTGACATCCATGCATACAATCCATAAGTTATCTAAGCAGATTCTCTCTTCTTCCTCCAGAAAACATACAGGGACTTCCGACTGCAGGGTGTGTTAGAAGGCACACTGAACAGTAAGACCTATGATACTCTGCACAGACGGTTAACAGTGGAGGAGGCTACAGCCTCTGTCTCAGAAGGAGGAGGACTTCAGGGCATCACCATGAAAGACAGTGATGAAGAAGAAGGCTGATAACCGCCAGTGCTGTAGGAAGAAGGAGGATGTTGACCTTGTTTATTTTGTAATTACATTGATTGTCTGGACCCAATAAAAATGCTTGTATTCCCCTCCACTTTGTAAAGAGTCAACCTGGAAGCAGAGTAAAAGGGGAAAATGCCAAGTTTTTTTGGTTTTTGTTTTTAACGTCCAGCCTCTTCTGTGCAGCTTGACCTAAAATGAGCTTTGGCTTTGTTTGTGATTGGAACATGATTTTTTGGTTTTTTAGAAGCTTTGACTTTTTCTTCTGTAATTACATCAAAGTAGTGTCCTCTGTGTGAAATGAGATCTGCATTTCTCATAGTAGACATTGTGAGAAGAAGCCACTTCGGATCACTGTGCCAGCTCCATTGTCCCCTTGTTAAAATGGTGTGTATTTAATAGTTTATCATTTCTGTGTCAGGGTTGTTTTTTTTTTCGTAGTTAATTTGCCATTGCTGTGATGTGTGTAAAAACTTTAACCTTGGTTCTTAGTACTCTGAGTTCATCTGCCGGCTTAAAGGACTGCCAAACCAAATATAGACTAGATCCTCCATCAGCTTGTGTCTTGTTCTATTCTGAACATATCTTTCAAGTTAAAAAAAAAAAATCCCAAAGCGTAAGGTAGTAAATGCGCTGCGATCCACATACCGCATTCTCCTACTTCTAAGTGTAACAGCTTGCAGGCAATAAAAATCTATTTGGTCAAAACCACTTCTGTATTTATTAGACTTATATAAATTAAATGCAGTAAAAAATGTTTGCAGTATTACAGACATCCCAACAATTTGGCTCTGTGTTTTTGTTTCTTGTTTTGTTTTGTTTTGTCTACAATCAGATGAGTAAAAGATATTAACACTGCTTTACACCTAATAGGCACACACGCTTGTTAAAAGAATAAGTTATTACGACAGCATATTTCCATAGCAAAGGTAACGCTGACCACATCCTTCCGTATTACTAACATTAGCAGTTAGTGTTAACTAATAATAAGTAATACTAGGAGTGCTAGTGATTTAACTAGCAGTTGATATATTAACAGTTATTTCTTCCCCCACAGTATTTTCTTGCTATAATTTTGAAAGATAGTAATATTATACTTTATAATTTATGAATTTTAGTTTTTGTGTTTTTTTCCTAAAATGTCCTGTCATATTGTGCTGCTACATTCATAAGTAATTTTTAAATGAGGAAAGTTAATACAAAATAACTGGAGGTATCCCTGAATTTGTGTAAACTCTAGTTCTGGGATTTTGGAAGTGAAACAACTTCTTAGACCTCCAAATTCATTCTCTTATGGTGTTATAAATGGTGCCTCAGTAGCTGGGCTAGCCACAAAAATCCATTTGATCTAGTTATTATATGATACTGGTTTCGGCTCAAATCTGGGTCCTAGGGGTAGGACCTCCTGTGATACAAGATAAACATGAAAGGAGATTTCTTCCCTTTTCCTGGATTAGAGACTAACTCTCCCAACTCAGTATTGTGGGAAGGCAGTTTGTCCTGGAATGCTCTCTTTCCCTCTCTCCGCCCTCACATCCAATAGCATCCTGTCTTTGGGCCGCTGGGTGTCCGGTCATGCTATCCTAAACTCAGTGGCACCCTCCCCATGCTTGCTGCTGCAAGCTCTAATGGCTGTATACTTGGAAATCACCCATCCTTGTTTTCCCCTAAATGTCTGTGTCTTTGATACAGCTCATCTCTGAGTAATTGGCCCATATTGTCCTAAAGTATGAATGATGAATGACTGATGCCCCCCCCTCCCAGGCATATATATAGTCAAGGAAATACCTAGCTAATCCAATTCAGATATGCAGGGGAAAGCACTTGGGGTCAGGAGGGTCCTACTGCTGACCTGAGCTATTTCACCTGCCTGCTGGCCCTCTTTGCTGGTCAGCCTCCTGTAGTTTCTCTCCAGACTTGGATGTTGTCTGCTCCTCCCCTTCTGTACCCAGGAGGTTTCTAAAAGCTCCATTCCCCAGTCCAACCTCCAGTGGCTTCCACAGGGAGGACGGAGGCAAAGGCAGGTAGTGGAGATGTTCACGAGTCTACCACGACTTTGTGAACTAACCTTTGAGCCACAGAAGGGTGTATGAAGAGAAATTTATAAAGTAATTGAAAAAGAATGAAAAGTCATTTTTGGGATTTTGCCCAGAAATTCTCTTCAACATAACTACAAATTGCTTGAAATGACTTAATAATTGTTCATCGGTGTGTGTGACTGTTAGGGTGAATGCCCAAGCATCTGTCTATTAAAGGAAGCCAAGTGTTATTTTTTAACTTATTTCATTAAAAGGGATTTAATCGAAAGCCTAACAAATCTTAACAAAACTTTTAAAGTGAAAATCATTTTTTTTTAAAGATTTTATTTATTTGACAGAGAGAGACACAGCGAGAGAGGGAACACAAGCAGGGGGAGTGGGAGACGGAGAAGCAGGCCTCCCGCGGAGCGGGGAGCCCGACGCGGGGCTTGATCCCAGGACTCTGGGACCATGACCTGAGCTGAAGGCAGTTGCTCAACAACTGAGCCACCCAGGCGCCCCAAGTGAAAATCATTTTTAACTCAAATAGCTCTACCCTCCTAAATGGTTTGGGGGAAGGGCCAAAAAGTGCATTCTTTGTGCAGTTTAAGAAGTGTTGCGGGAGAAAATACCTAATGCAGTCCAATATCCAGCTGGAATGGGCCTGTTAAGTAACACGTCTAAAAGGAAAGTTTCTCCAAACTCATGGAGAAAAATAATAATAACGCCTTTTCCCGGAAAGGGAAAGAACCACGCAGTGCTTAACGTAAACTTCTCAGCTCCAGCTGTGGGTCGTTCTTGTATTCACGGATTTTCCACTTGAATTCCCCTTAGTTCTTGTTCATTGTGCCTCGCTCTGCAGAAAGGATTTCCTGCTACTTTCTCAGTAAACGCCGGTGCAAAGTGTCTCAGGGCTCCCACCCCGCCCCCCACGGTCAGAGCCCGGCCTGGCCCGGCGTCGCCCTCCTTCGCCCGCGAAGACTTCGGGTGAGAGGGTCCGTGAGCTCCTGGAAGGTGCGCTTGGTGGGAAGGAGGTCACCCTGCCATCGCTGCTCATGGAGCCCCTCCCTGCTGCGACAGTCCGGGAGGCGCGTGCCCCCAACCCCCGCCCCCCCGCCAAAACCTGCGGGGACCCGGGGCTGGCCCGGGGCGCGGGGGCGCAGGCCGGCCGTGCGCGGGATTCCCGCGAGCCGGAGCTCAGAGCCGGCCTTCCCAGCCCCTCCCGCCACGCGTTTCGTAGAAAGACCGGAGCCGGGAGATTCGAGCAAGAGCTCGGCCGCCTTTATGTCTTACTCCCCAAACAGAAAATGGAAACTTCCCGGTCCGGGTCCCCAAAGGGAGGTCATAGAGCGATGTTCCTGAGAGCCGTTCGCGCGCCGCCGGCGGAGAGCAAGCGGGTGGGCCCCTGCGCGCTCTGCCCCCACCGCCCGCCCGCGCCCCCACCCGCAGCCCTCCTCTCGTCCCACCCCGGCCAAGAAAAAAAAACAAACCAACCCGTGGACTAGTTGTGTGCGGAATCTGGAAGCCTGACTTGTGGGAGTTCTGGAAGACAGTGCTCACCCTATCTTTACATGGGGTCCCCCTACCTCATCCCCACCCTCTGCCCCGGTGCTATGCGGCTCTCCTCCTCCTTCCAAGCTCGGCTCGCCGGCCGGGCAGGAACTTTCGGGGAAAGCGGACGGCTCAGTTGGCTCCGGGGCTCCGGTACTCCGGGGGGGGGGCTGGGCAGCCGGGAGGAGGCGAAAGGGAGCTGGGACGCCCGCAGTCCCCGAAGTGCGCGGCTGGCGGCTGCCCACCATCCCCCTTCCAAGCGTGAGGCTTTCCCCCCAGCGTTGGCTGAAAGGTGGGGTGCAGAGATGCCTTAATCTGCTCTTCTCTGTGACGCAGAAGTAAGATACTTAAAGGAACAGAAGCGGATACAGACTGAGCACAACGCTCTGAGCCTGGGTTCCCGAAGTCATGAGTGACAGTCAATCGCGCCCTTTGTCCGTGTGCAATATGCCATTGTTTTAAGGGAATAGGCACTGGAGTATGAGAGTCTACTACTGAGAAAAGAGGAAGGGGGAGAAGGAGAACTTGATGTGTTTCCCAAATGAAGAAGACCCCTGATTTAAAGAAATGCCCAGAACCAGGTGCACATGACACAGCTTGGGAAATCGTAGTAAGCAGGGCCTTGGAGCCAGAAAAACCTGGGTTTGCCTCCTAACGGCTACCCCTCTTGCCCGCGTCTGAGCTCTATGTCCTTGAGCGAGTCACTTAACTTCTCTGTAAAATGGCCACTTAATCAGGAAGGTGGTTGTCCGAATTAGAGGCATGTAATAAGTTGTGGCCAGTACTAACTAGTTCTTCGTGAGGAATGGATTGAAAAGAAATCGTGGCAGGCCTGCCTCTGCCAACGTGCAACTACCACTCTCTGGCCATTCTCCCCGGGCTGGTTTCAGGGTCCTTCTAGATCACAGCCCGCTCAACGGATCTTCAGCCCGGTCCCTGGCGTGTCAGTGGACTGGCTAGAATTGTCCGGTTCCGGGGTTATATATAAGGCTGGCCAAGTGGGAGGAGAGGAGCAGACGGGGAGGGGCAAACCTACTTGGGTCTGCTGAAAGGGCTGGCATTGCGGAGAGCAGCCCCTGGAGCAGTGGCTGGGAAGAGGGGAGGCAGCTGGAGACGTGTCTTTGGGCCACAAGGGGATGATGTTGGTCAGGGGCTCTGAAACCGGACAAGTATGATCCAGAGATGCTAGACCTATAGGCAAGGAATCTCAGACCTCGGCCTGTAGCCAGTAGGTTAAGTTCAAGAGAATTTAAGGGACAAATTGGTGTTCATTAATGTTTTCCAAAGTTTAAGGAAGCCTAGATTGGCGTCCTGCGTCTCAGACCAGAGATGCGCACACAGGGAGCGCTTGGAAAATGCACAGCGGAACCGAGAGAGAAGCAGACGAAACCAAACGGCCCCAGCGTGCCCCAAGCTGGCCTCAGCCACGGAAGCTGAGCAAAAACGGCAGACGCTGAGGGTGGCAGTCAGCACCGAGGCCTGGCCTGGAGTGCTGAACTGACAGCCCTAGAAGGCTGTCAGGAAAACGCCAATAACTTGGAGACCAGTCCGGGCGGCGGCCATGCCCCAGGGTCACATCCCAGCGTGTCCGTGAGGAGGAAGACGCGTGCCCTGGTGGTGCCAGGGCCAGGCACTTGGTGGCCTTGGGGAGGCAGAAACTCATCGCTTCTGAAAGGGGAAGACGCCTCTCCCTGCTTTGGGCTGGGACTAGAGCTACTTTTTTAAGGGGAGAGATGTTTCCCATCTTCATCATTCCTTTAAGGTAGCCTGCCTTCAGCTTCTGGTTCCAGGTGCAGGGAAGAATTTGACACACACACACCACACACACCACTCCAGAATACCACAGATGCCTTTAATCTCCCTGTACTTCGCAACTTTACATTAAGAGTTACTGTGTTTATGTGCTTATTTGTGGGTGACTCCTAAAATGTAGCAAATAAACATATTCTCAAATGGTCTAAAATCTTTTTCCATCCCTAGGATCAGTGGTTCTCAAGTCAGAGAGGAAGTGAAGAGCTGATTTCGAATCCAAGAATCATCAGGCAGGGTAGTTACCCTTTCTTGGGCTCTGACAGACTTGTTTATGGAGCCCCTACACACAATGTGTAGCTTTGCAAAAATTAAAAGTGGTGTGTCAAATTATTTCCTTTTCTGCTTTAAATCAATTCCAGTTTGTCTTTTAACACTACTTCCTTGCTAACACCCAACAAGTAAC